CATTAATTGTAACCACATGTATCACACAACCCTCAAAGAACAATTAAAATGATGCTCAAAGTGTTGTTCTGCTTAAAGATAAGGTGCAGGGCACATAAATTATTTAATTATCTGTGTAAACAGATGCCATTAATCAACACAAAGGCATTTATAGGTTGGAAACTGTGTAATTATAGAAGAAATCCAGGAACTCTCATGTTTGGGATTACGTCATGACAACAACACCTTTGCCTTCTTCACTAAACGTAGTTAAATGTAATAGGAAGAGGAATTGTTTTCTAAAAAGAAAAATGCTGATTAGATTTTAAGAAGGAAAACAATAATTGTTGAGAAGAAAAATGATATCATCCTGCTCACTTGCACAATGAAGATGCCTCTCAGATGCAAAAATCTTATCTTGATCTTTCTCTGCCTTCAAAGCATGTCCAATTTATAGAATTGTATTCTATAAATAGTCTGAGACTCCTGGACTGCAGTGGAGTTGCTAGAAGTTAAGCCAATTTAGATCTGCACAGAGATAGCCAAATGTGAGCTTCCTGATTGTTACTGCGGACACCTTTTGGGAATCTGCACCTGTAATGGAGGAATGAGAGTTACCTATGCTGAGGGTGCCCTGGGCTATATCCAGTGCTTTTCCCCCTCTAAAAATGTTTAGGTGTACTCTTATTTTGACTCAAGAAAAACCACCATTTTATAGTTCAAATCGGGGGAAATAAATACAGTAAATGGACAAAAGTACAAAGATTCACAACATGTTTAGGGGTATGGATCCCCCTGTGTCCCCCTAGAAAAAGCACTGGCTATATCTACCACTGGATATTATTCTCCAGTGATGTCAACATATATGGCAATGCTATAGCTCTACAATGCTGCTGCAGATGTTTTAGCGCTGCAAATGAATGCTCTGAAACACTTCTAGTAAAGTCAATCAGCAAATAACTACTTTCACTCAAGTAATCATGATTGCATTATAGAACAGCAGAAAAGAGTTAAACATACACTATCTGGATTGGAGACAATGTACCTTTCGTAGTGCAGCCTCGTTCTCATTGTGTCATGTCCCATGTGACCTCTGAGTGACCTCTGAGAACTGAGTGATGCAGAGGGACACATCTCACGTTTTTTGGACACGGGGGTGATAATGAGTTCCTTAAACTCGAGGGCTGCATTGTGGAATCTAGAAGTCCCAAATTGTCTCCATATGGATCACCAACAGTGGTTCCCATCACTTTGCAAACCGCTATTGACTATGGAGAATTATGATTTCCCACTGCAGCAGAAGTACAGTTGAGAACACCTGGAGAGCGGTGGTGGTGGTTCCTGCTGTGGTGGGTCTCCTTGCCATGTCCTCTTGTTCACACTTTCTCCCAGCCAGCTCTCCAAAGCCTCCTGCCAACTTCCACCTTCCGCAACAAACATGTGATTCCTAAAACTTTCCAAAAACTCCACTTCCTAAATCATCCACTTTTGTTCCTGAAATGAAGGCTTGAAATAGCAAACACAATACAAACTATTAGGCTCCTCCACAATTCATTTCCATTTGGGCAACGCCACTTTTCCAAGAAGATGCAGACATAAGTGAATATGAAAATACAAATAACGGCAATGTAGATAAAGGCAGTAATAGAAGCAACATTTCAGGTGGAGCCTTCCAGTGTGGGCATTTAGCAATAGTGCTTTGATGTAAATCTAGCTCCAAGCTGATAACACTGCAAAAAGTCTTATATCATATCGTGGGAGGCTTGAAAATCAGAGAGTATTATTAAAATGCTTTGAGTGGGAGCACAGACCTTCTGAGACTCTGGCCTTCCTTATAGAAGCTATGTAAATGTATATCAGACTTCTTTTGATGAATGGGGGCTTAGCAATAAAACTTCTATCAACAAAACATGAATGAAATGATCAGGTACAAATGTGTGGGTTTAAAATTATGGTTCCAGTTTGTAATTCAGGCACCAAGGCTCAAATTAACTATAAATACAAGTTAGAGGCCTGTCAGGCGTCGCAGGGAGGGCCCTAAGTGGTTGGGAAATCTCCACCCCCCTGTATCGTGTAATGGAGCAAGACGGAGTGGAACAGAGGACAGAAAGATACATATTTACCTTCCCATCCCTGTGCTAAACCCTTGAATTATGCTTATTATCATTAAAAAATCTTTAATCAACTTGCGTAAAGCCAATGAAAATTCAACAACCTCATCTGAGCAGTGTACAAAACATGAAAAAGGTCCAGCAAATCTTGGGTAAACATATGATTTAAGCAAGTGTTTTAAACAGGAGCTACATTTTCCGTGATGCTGAGAGCAGGTGATAACCTAAGCAAAGGAGATCAGCTCATATCCTCATCCCTGCTTTTCAGTCTGTTCTTAAGGCTGCAGGCCTTGACGCATGTTAGTGGCATTATCAGCTCATGCCAGGGGGTAGCAATCCTCCAAACATACTGGACCTCTTTTGGATCTGGGTGATTTCATTATGTCCAGGTCTGAAATGGAAGCCCAGAGGGCCCGGGCCCCAATTCTGCTACCATGTTCTGGATTTGGAGCCTTTTCTCTAGGGCACTACATGATGAAGAGGTCGCTAAAGCCCTGCCCTTTTGTGTGTCATACATTCAGTTCTGTGTCTTGTTCACTAATAAACCATGTTTGCTGCAGCTAATAGGGCTTCATGGATCACCTGCTTTTCTATGAGCTGTGTCAATCCACTTAATAACTATGGATTGGTGGTATCTTATTTTGTACCCAAGAAAATAACTCTCGGGGGAAGTGTACAGAAGCTTTACATACCTTATCAAATAATTTAATGGAGCATTTAGTAAGATAAACAGTCTGGGCCATTTCTCTTTGTAATGTAATGTTGAGCAAAGCCTGTCTGATTGATTTTCCTTTAATTGAGAGCAGACAATAAAAGAAGCCATGTTTTCTTCATGCTGATTGATAAGATTTGCAGCTGAGCCCTGAGTGGCGGCATAAAATGCTATATCCATAAAGCATTGCATGGTTTTTCTGTCAGAAAACAGAGCTTGTGTTGCGTTGGCTGTCTTACTGTAGAAGAGTAAAGCAAGAAATCACATAGGCAACTGGTAAAACTTCTCAAAGCTTTGCGTACTTTCTCCATGCTAGCAGATCGCTGGTCCTCTTTCTTCCTTTCTTCCCATTTTAAGTAGCAAAAGAGTCATCACTGGGGGGCAAATAGAAACTATTTGCATGTTCAGACCCAAAAACCTCCCCCCAAATAAATTCACACTTGACTCAAATATTGGTTTTGGTTTTTGGCAGAATTTAGGCCACAACTTTATTGATTACAGAAAGTGACTGGTTGCATAGGCTCTGGTTCGACTAGCTCCCTGCCTTGCAGGTAGCGCTGACCCAGGGCACCAGCACAGGTCAACCAAGGGTGAACACCTGGATAGGTGGAAAGCTGGTAACGGGCTAACTCTGCTACCCAAATGCCCCCCTGGAATCAGGCACGGGCACAACCCCCTCTTGGGGGTTGACCAAACCATCAAGTCCCTGAATTCCTTTAATAGAACACCCTTCACATAGGGATGGTGAGAGCGTTCTCTCATCCCTATCACCTGAACCAGAGCCTATCCGCAACCTTACAAGTTGTGATGATTTGCTACGTGGCAGGCGAAACCCAAATGGCAACAGCCAATCAGCCAAGTGGGGAAAATTCCAGCCGTGCCCCTGTCCCAATGTCAGACGACACACAATGGCATAGCAGGTTCAAGCGCAAAGCCCAAAAAGTGGGGAGAGGTGGGCGGGTGTTCCGAATGCAAGCGCCAAAAGAGGAAGCTCTGGGTCACGTGCATGGGCATAAATAGGTCCCTTGAACCGTTTGGACTGCATCCCATTGGCCAGATTGCAGCCAGCTTCAAGGGACCTACCAATCAGGTGTTGTGGCTGACCAATCGTACCCACCCACAACACAGGGTGTCGGTTTTCCAGGGCTCACTGCACTACGTGTCCTCTTTAAGGGAGGACCCGATTTAACATTTAAATGAATAAATTTGGATATGACAATGGGGGGGGGGACAATGCAAGGAAACTAGTGATTAATGCCCCCCCCAACAGAAACAGTCAGGGACTGCTAAGAGTCTATTCATCACTAATTCTTCAGCTGCTGTTCAACAGGTGTAGTGCCTAAGTTTGCTATCCTCCTTCCTTTTGTGTCATGCCTGTGAGAGCCATTCGTTTCTGAAGACCAGGGTCAAAATGCTTTAAATAGATAAAGACGCAGAACCTCCACTTCAATCCCACTTGCAGCTAATTACAAAAAAGCAAAGCCTCAGCAGCACTTAAAGGCACATAGCATAAACATCTGTGCCCATCATCTCTTGCTACTGCTGGTGTCCTGCAGTAGCATTCAGGTCTAACCACACTTGCATGGCAATATATCTATTAAAAGCTTGATACCCTGTTTCTTTGTTGCAAAGCAGTGTGGGGAGGGGGTGACTGGGACTTCTCCACAGCTTCCCCACTCCAAATTGCCTTCTGCTCATGCTGCTTTGCAGGCCATCATGTTTTTATTACACACCTGGCTTACAGTATATCTAGGACCTGGGAAAGGAGAGTCACGTGGTTTTTTGAGAGAAGGCTTTCAACAACAGAGGTTGCTCTGAGGTGTGACAAGGGAACTTCAAATCGGCTTTCCAATAGTATGGAACTAAAATTTTGTAATATAGTAATGCATGTTCAGTTTGAATAATTGTGTGTTTATTGACTCTGTAAACCTGTTGTCCAAGACACAAACTTTTATTCTTTGTGCATATGTACATTGCAATTTTCCGAAGAAGGCTAGGAATAATCTGAATAATCAGAAAAGTGCTTCTGCCACCATCAGGCTTAATGTGTCAGTGTCTGCAGAAACTGACTTGTGAAGTTGCTGTGTAATGATTGTAGGAAAATGCTGGGAGCTTGTGGCTCTTTCCTTTAGAATGTTCTTGTTCCTAACTTTTTGTCAGAGGGTTTTCAAGCGACCTGCTATTTTCTTCTTTTGCAGAATGTGAACGATGAACCTCCAGTCTGTAGGCCACCCTATTATAGCAAACCTATATACTCTACTATTAAAACACCCATCTTGCAGTTGAATTGCTCAGACAAAGATTCTCCCCCTCATCAGCTCAGCTACACTATTGTGGGAGGTAAGACTATATATAGCTTAGTTTTTGTAATGACCATTCATTAGTTTTCATTCTTTCTTTTTGTGTGAATAGAATTGGTGAAGCACCTTCAAGTGTATTCCCCTTCAAAGGTGAGCCATTTGGGAGCTGCCCAGAAATTAGGACCTAAAACACACACACCTTATGACAATATTAGCAAGCCAGAGATTGTTCTAACCATAGAAATATGTCAACATGGAGTAGGTCAGTTGCTAAAGAGCACACACCAAGAGTGTTTTGTTGAAATCAAGGCTAGGGAACCCTCTAGATGGTCCTGGACTACAAGTCCCATCATCCCAGACTGTTGGCCATGCTGGGTGGGGCTGGTGGGAATTGAAGTCCCTCAGCACGTGAAGGGCCTCAGGCTCCTCACATCTGGCCTTAAATCATAGAATCATCAGTTGGAAGGGTCCCTGAGGGACATCTAATCCAACCCCCTGCACTGCAGGAATATGCAGCCATCCCATATGGGGAATCGAACCTGAAACCATGGCATTATCCGTACCATGTTCTAACCAACTAATCTATATATGAATATACACCTTCTGTGCTTTGAGGGAGACACCTCTGTTCTCTGAACAGTGGCCTGGCGTTGGGAGGGGAACCTGCTCTAAGCTGCAATCTCTTTTGCTTCCTTCATTTCTTTAAGGGAAGAAAAGCTGCTGTTCTCTTGTACCAGTGCCTAAGAGGCTCTTTGCATCATCCCGACACAATTCAGACATTTATTAAGAGATGCCATATTTACCTGAAGTGCAAGATTCTGAAAGCTGGAGAGCTAGATATGAATTGTAATAGGATGCCATTTTTATTTTTATGGTACTTCAAACCCCATTCTTTCTAGGCAATACCCATTCTCGTTTCAAACTTCAGAGATTAGGCTCTGGCTTACCTTCTTTGATGACGACACAGAACTTCCAGTATGATGTGTTTCGAGGAATTCAGGATCCCACCACATTTCAGCTGCTGATAGAAGTGGCTGATGAACTGCATGGCAGTTTAGCTCACCGCTTGTCCACAACAGCAACTGTAATACTGCATGTGGTTCCCTGGAAAACAACCAGGCCTTCAACCACCACAAAAACAACCACAACTGCCGTAAGTTTCCAAGCATGCTTCTTTTTTTCAGGACGTCAAGAGACATCTGGGGCAGTTGATAGAGGAGAGCACAGTTCAAAATGTTTCTGGTATCTCTGTGACTTACAGAGAGAGGGAGGGGTGGGGTGGCAGCCAGGTCATTGTGGTGCAAATGCGCAGGAGAGAGAACTAGACTGGCTCTGCTGGTGTGTTTATACTGTGCCAGCATTGTCACACCCTTGGAACACCCGCCGGATGGCTACGGCTTAAATGGTTCCCCCAAAATCTTCTGCCTCAGGTAGAGTGCCTCACTATTTGCTCTGAATGAATAAAACATAGCAATAAAACAACAATATGATATACAAATCTACTTTGAGGTTTTCAAGTTAAAAACTGGTGCAGATTTTTTTTGAAAAATAAATATTATTAAGGCCTGCTTACATTACAGAAAGGAGCTGATTCTCTGCGCCATGCTGTGTGTCTCTTTCTCAGTCCTTTTCTGGCTCATCCGGCATCTGGGGCCAGGATGGAAATGTCAGCACTGTGGGTGTGAAGGCACACAGTGTCTGTGTTTTGTAATGGGAGCGAATTGTCAGCTTCCATGAACGGTGGCTGCCCATCATAAAACTACCCAACATGCAATGCCCAGCTGCAGTTTTATGTTAGACAGCACTGCGCATGTGAGAGCTGATGTGTTGCTCTCATTCAACAATGGTGAGACCATGTGCTTTGCCCCACTCCAGTCTGGTGGCAAGAAGAGGTGGTGTTGTCAGTGTGTGGTATGTTGTGCATGGCAGGGCTGGTCTGCTGGGGATTCTGCCAGTTGTGGCCATGACAGGGGGGACCTTCCTCATAGGACCTCCTGGTTTTCTGTTGGGGGATATCCCCTCAAATGGTTACAGACTTGCTGTAGAAATCCCATGTTGATTATGATGGTCAATCCCTTGTGTGTTATTCCCAGCATCTGATCTGATAGCTAAGCTCCATTGCTTGGTGTGAGGCCCCCCTCAGAATCTTCTATTTCACATGTTTTCCCTGGGGCAGAAAGCCACGTTCATGGATACGCATATCCTGTGCCTATACATATAAATAATGTAAGTCTAAAACGAGATACCCAGCTGAATCATTAAGATGTTAAGCCAGGAAATCAAATTAACTGGCCACACTCATAGGGAACTTTTACATCCGAGTCCACTGGCAAAACAGACACAGCAGATGTTAACTGTCTAAATCCTTTAGTTTCATCATATGGTGACATAATGTTGAGATAAGTATCGGACACTCATGCAAACTGTATTCAGATCCTTTGTTTGTTCAGTGCCTTGACCAATAGCAGCCAGTTTACTTCAATAGCCCCAAAATATCTGTATCATAGGCTGGTGACAGCCTGTTTTATCACACAGGACGATCTGCACATGCTCATCTGTCTGGTATATCTGGGGAAGGGGAGTCAACGAAGAAGGGAAAGGCCGATATCTTTCATGAACTGTATCTTAAAATATACTTAAAAAATGAAAGGGAAGTAGTACTTCACTGGCTTGAATTTCGAAGCATGTCCCAGGTCCACACTGTCTTCATCTGAAATGATTAGTATGGGGGCGCGCCCCTCAACAAAGCCATGTTGTAGTGCTAAAGAGGCTGAACAGTGAATCTCATATGTGGTGGAGGGGGGCAGTTGAGACAGAGTCCAACCCGAGGGAGGGGCTGGTTACTATGAAGATGAGAGAGAGAATGCTCAGGAGGAAGAGAGATGGTCAAAAGAGAACCAGGGCTTTTTTAGAGCTGGAACTCATTGGAACTCAGGACCTCTCAGGTGGGCGCCATTGCCATCCTAAGAGAGAACGAGGGAGGCGTTCGTCACGGGTTCCAGCTCCTCTTTTTCTAGAAAGAGAGCACCGAAGAGAACAGTTGGAGAGAGACCTGAGTGACTCTCAGCAGACACAGCGGAAACAGCCTCTTAAGTTTGCGGCAGTTTTCTGGTGGGAATCCTCAGAAGTAGGCAGAGCAGCCCTTCAAAGATTAATGGTGGCGGGTGGGAACTGACATAAGGATGTGGAGCTAGCCAGATCTTCTCCAGAATTATCTTGCTCACCTAACTCTGCTCTGGAGATAATTGGGAACAGTAGTAGAGTTGCAGATTCAGAAGTGCCACAGCCAGGCCCCTCATAACCACCCCCCCTTCCTAGATTATACAGTAATCTCACATTTAAACAATATTAATAATTAGGGTTGCCTGGCAACCATCAGTGCCGATCTGCATGTCTTGCCTTTTAGCCAGATCTCCTATTTTCTGTGTGCGCACATGTGCAAATGATTTGGACAGCGCCAGTGTCTTCTTTCAGGGTCACTCATGTTGTGCTTTCCTTGACGTTCCTTTGTAGCAGAACTTGCACACCATTCGCTTGAAATGAAATCATGTTGTGTTTTTGGTTCTTAGGAGCATCTAGAGCAAATCCTCTTTGGTGCTTTTCTTCAGAGTGACCCCAGGAGCCAAGGCTCACTGGCTGATTCACCTCCTTTTACTCTGATTAGCTGCAGATCAGTACAGGAGATGAGAATACTTCTTCCCAGAGGCTTAAAAGTCCCCATTCATGCTGATGGGGCAGCTCTAGGATGCTGGAGACAGGGGCCCTGCTGAGACCCTGTTCCAGAAATAGTGGCAGATCTTGGATCCTCTGTGTCCCCTGACTGATCCACGTCTAGATCCAAGGCACACTGTTTGCTTCTTGAGGGAAGGTGAGAGGGCTCCATATCTCACTACTCAGCCAAGAGCAGGGCTTGAAGCCCTCAATATTGCCCATATATACTTAGTCCAGATGGTCCTCATGCAAAATAATTATTTATAAAAACATATAAGTCGCACTTTCATAAAAATACTTATATAATATAATTTACAGTGATTAAATAGACCCAATGTCTATCTAATGTCTACACAATGTGTAGAATTTGCCACAATCTCAACTTAACAGCCAGGAACACATTTTTCAGGGGGCTCACCAGTTGCTGGTGTTTTCTGGGAATGGTTTTTTTAAAATTTAATTTTATATAATTAGTGCATTTTCTCTCTCTTCTGAAATCTGAAATTAATGTCTTCTATTTTCTGTTAGCTAGGTTTTTTCTTTTCTTTTCTGGTACTAAGAATGCTGCACCACCCACAAATTTAAAAGAAAAATAAAACACCCACGACTATATTCTGCTTTTATTTTGCAACTTCTCAAGAGTATGTCGAAACTTAAGTTTTCACTTATTTCCCCTCCAGTAAGTGTTTCATGTTCTACAACACACAATTGTTCTTTTAACATAGGAACACTGCCACCTACTGGACAAAGTATAGGTCTGTCAGTAGTACAAATTAATATACGGTAATTTCTAAGCCTTTCCATAACTTTCATAATCATTCCATTAGCACAAGCATCCGTTGTGCTAGCTAGAAGTCTTGCAATGACTTCTACTAGCAAACCGGGCTAACTGAATCTGAGATTTCTTTAGAGCATTTTTGCTTATGAAAAAGCTTTAAAGCATGTCACATGCCTTTTATTCAGGGTGTTCTATAAACCACGATGCTTCCCTTCTGGACCCAATCATATTCATGTTTAATTGGAATTAATTTTGAATTTGAATTTTCTTTTCCAGATTATATTGCATTTTGAAAAATCTAATGGATATCCATTTCTGATTTGCAAATGTCTCTTGTTTGTTTATTTCTAGGCTACCACCTCAGTGCTGATTCAGACTTTATATTATTGGCATCCCGAAAACTGGTTTCCTGTTGTCCTAACTATAGCAGCAGCCCTCCTATTGATGTGCTTGTATATGGCAGTGTGGGGTTGCTTCAAAGAGTAAGGACTCCTTCAGTTTTGTTGACAGCTCAGAGGAGACAGTGAATGTGAAAATGTACACCTAGACTAGTCTGTTGATAGATATTCCACCCACTGCAATAGAAGTTTCCCATTTCCTCCCATGTCTCATGAGACACCAGTCCTGAAACTTATAGGAGTTTTTTAAGTGGTTTGCTATTCATCAAGAGGGAATTGTGTTTGATACAAATAAGCACCACATTTCATATACTACAGCAACACAAATGTGTGTATCAAGAATTCTGTAGGTGGCAGGTAACATGGATGTTCCTGCATGCCCTTGTTCAGATCTCTTAGGAGCTAAGGATGCAGTCTTCTGGTCTGTGGAAGGGAATCTTGTGGGATGTGAAACAGAGCAGTCAAGTACAACATTCCTAGAGTGAACATGTTTACACATGGGGAGGAATGTTTGTCCAGCCAGCAGGTAAATTTCCTGTTTCCTTCTGGGCTGGGACAGACGTCCTCTGCATGTGACTAGAGGTGGGCGTGGCCTCACCTGTGCAGGTAATGACAAAAGCACAGGGCAGGGCAGCCATCTCTCTCTCTTTCACCACATGCATCAAAGAAACAACATCTTCTAAGCCAAAGATGCCCTCTTGGCTTCCAGCCAAGAGAGGACAAAGGAACTGCCTTCTTAAGAGATAGATTCCAAGTGTATGTTACTTCATTAAACTAAGTCTGCCTTCTGGGATCTGATTGTGAACAGAATGTGAGTAAACTCTTTTTTATACTTTTGTAAAAGACTGTGTCGTCTCTTATATTTTATGAGAGAATAAGGGGAAAATACCAGAACAGTTATTATAGAGGCTTTAGCGAGCCTGAGCAAACGCATCCATTGCAAAGCTTAAAATTAAGGGGAATGTTACTCTGCTGAAATTGTGGAACTTGTTAACAATAGTTGGATACGGATATAATCAGACAATATATCCTCTCCTGCATCCCTGAACATTCCCACAAATCTGAGTGGCTATGGAATAGAGTGAATCTCCCTCTGTTCCTGCAGAGTGAAGCCCATAGGTAGAGAAGAAGGTCTGGCCTCATAAACCTTCCCATTGTGGAAATGTCTCCTAACCTTACCACTGCACTGATGAGAGTGACCCAAAAGGGGGTGCAGATTGCAGGACCTGGATCCAAAGGCCTTGTCTTTCCCCAATATATCCCTGGGATTGGGGAGGGGGCTGTATGTGCAACCTGCGCCTGGAGTGCATATTTCTCCTGCTGCTGCCTCCTGCGCACCATTTTCCCTGGCCAGGACAAGACGGCCAGGAGAGGAGGTTCTTCTGCCCACAATCTCCCTTGCCCCAACCTCAAAAGATGACTGACAATAAATTTTGTGCCAGCCCTTTCCAATAAACTTCCATCTCTCCATGTGTTGCTCCCTAATACACATCCCGTGATTCTAATGTAGATGGCATTTTTACCCTCAACAGCGTTCCCAAATGTGGAAGATTCTTTCCAGAGTGCTGTATCGACCAAAACCATCTGCCAGTCCTGAACGCTGAAAAACATGCCGGTTCTCCAAGGTAAGGGTCCTTTTCTGTCTCATGTGCATAGTGTCTCATCGGGCTACTTTAGCACAAATTGTGTAGCCACTTTAGGAATATCGCCAGAAAATATAAATGACACTCATTTCTTCCATGTGGTTTGGAGTCACAGAGAATTGTTGGAAACCTCCAAGATTTTCATTTTTCTCTTGCAGCATATGTTTTAATAGGCAGGAATTCAAGGCTGCTTTGTACCTCTTTATGTTGGTTGTCTGTGTATTCTTGCCACCTCTTCTTGATGTTTTCTGCTTCTGTTAGGTCCTTACCACTTTTGTCCTTTATTATGGTAATCTTTGCACGAAATGTTCCTTTCATATCTCCAATTTTCTTGAACAGATCTCTGGTATTTCCCATTCTATTGTTTTCCTCTATTTCTTTGCATTGCTTGTTGAAGAAAGCCCTCTTGTCTCTCCTTGCTATTCTTTGGAAATCTGCATTCAATTTCCTGTATCTTTCACTGTCTACCTTGTGTTTTGCTTGCCTTCTCTCCCCTGCTGTTTGTAAAGCCTCCTGGTAGAACACCTAAGGTAAAGGTAAAGGGACTCCTGACCTTTAGGTCCAGTCGTGACCGACTCTGGGGTTGCGGCGCTCATCTCGCTTTACTGGCCGAGGGAACCGGTGTACAGCTTCCGGGTCATGTGGCCAGCATGACTAAGCCACTTCTGGTGAACCAGAGCAGCGCACGGAAACACCATTTACCTTCCCGCCGGAGCGGTACCTATTTATCTACTTGCACTTTGACATGCTTTCAAACTGCTAGGTTGGCAGGAGCAGGGACCGAGCTCACCCCATTGCAGGGATTCGAACCACAACCTTCTGATCGGCAAGTCCTAGGCTCTGTAGTTTAACCCACAGCGCTACCCGCATCCCTGGTAGAACACCTACAGGGACAATATTCCTGTGAAGGGATTTCTGATGTTACAGGCAGTACTGCATCCACAACCATGAGTTCTTCTGAGCCTTATGACAATAGATTATTATTGTTTTAGAGCACAGAAGATGATGGTATCCACTCAGATATGAATATTATCATCTAAGATTCTGTGAAACTCGCGCCATAACTCTCCACATTCTGGAACAATGCTAAATGATGGTGCATAAATGGCAGCACAGATGCTGCACTCAGGAGTGACAGGCAGAGAGTGGGGATGCTGCACACCTGGCCTCCTGTCAGCAGCAGAAGAGGAGGCAGGTGAAGGTGGCCAGGAGGCCAGTGCTGTGCTGGTGGCCTGGTGAGGCCAATACTTCTGCCACAGTGCTCACACTTTGAAAGATCCCAGTGGATCCCACTTGTGCAAGACAGGGATTTAGGAGGTATTTCAAAGAGAGTCACAAAGGAGCAGCATCTGGCACCGCACAGGAGCAGATCCTGCTTCTTAGCAGCTGGCCTGATCCTGCTTCGCAAGTGGCTGCCCTGCACACATTGCGGGGAACACTTGTCTAATGCTGCTTTTCCTGTTTCTCTCTACCAGCAAAATGAATCCAACGGTGAATCTACCCCAGTCAGATGCGACATTCAGAAAACTGTCCGTGAGCTCCCAAGTAAGTGGAATTGCACTTGCTATTTGCAAGCGGAAATACCCCTGCTCATTGTGCTGCCAATCAAAATCCCATGGGGGTGTGGGAAGAAGTTTTAGGCTGCACGTTTTGTCTGTCAGCCATGAACTTAGCTGCGTTTCGAGAGAGAGAACCTCTCTCACCCCTTTTTCATTGGACTGGGCAAGGATCTTTCTTTCTTTCTTTACATTTATTTCCCATCCTTCTTCTAAGGAGCTTGAGTCAGTGTATATGGTCTGCCCCCATTTTATCTTCACAACAGCCCTGTGAAGTAGGTCATGCTGACAGATAGGAACTGCTTCAAGGTCACCCAGTGTGCTGCATGACTGACTGGGAATCTGAACCAGGGTCTCTGCCGCCCTGGCCTGATACTCTAAGCCAGAGATTGGGGGTCTCAGAGGCCAAATGTGGCCCTCCAGGCAATTCTGTCTGGCTCTTCAGACTCTCCTCAAGTGACACGCCCTCCTGAAGCCCTTTGCCAGCCTTGCATTGCACCCCCCTTCTGTTCCTTTGCCTGCCTGGAATGTGCCCTTGAACTCTGGCAATGCTTCCTGCTTGTCTGGGCGAAGGGTAGAAAGGGATGTTTGAGTGTAGAGAAAGGTGTGGCTTTTTTCAAGGTCCCAGGGAGAGCTCTGGCAGTTTTGAAGGCTCTTGTTCAGCTGGGATAGCTCAGTCAGTAGATCAGGAGACTCTTAATTTCAGGGTTGTGGGTTCAAGTCCCATGTTGGGCAAAAGATTCGTGCAATGGACTAGATGACCCCCGTGGTTCCTTCCAACTCTACCATTCTATGAGTCTATGAGCATTCACATTTATGGCTGTGCCCACTTTTGCCTCTTGTCCCACCCACCACTGGCATGTGCCCCCCCCAAGGATGCCCAGAAGGGGCTGTGGCCCTCAAAATAAAAAAGGGTTCCCACCCCTGTTCTAACCACTATACCGCACTGGCTGAGGTGTGCCTATATCTGTGGAAAAGATTGTCAAGGTATAGTGGTTAGAACAGGGGTTTAGTTTGTGCTAGAAACCAGCCTTTTAGTCTTGCAGCTCCAGCCCTCTGGAGTCAATTACCAGCTGAAGTTAGACAGGTAGCTAGGATCTTGATGCTTAAGTCACTACCTAAAATGCTTTTGTTTAAGAAAGCTTTCCCTGAAGTGTGAATCGGTCATTTTATGGGATATTAATTGTACACCTGTAGGAATTGTTTCATTGTTTTTAGAATGTCATGTAAATGCTTTTAGTGCATTATAGAAATTGTTTAGAAAATAATAATTCTATTGTTGTACACTGCTTTCATGGCCCCAAGCTGCAAAGCAGCATATAAATCTATAAAATAAACAAAAATACCTTCTGTTAGTTCAAAAGTCAATGGTGACCAGAAGCACTGAGAGTACAGGTGTGCTAACGACAGTGATTTATGTTGCCTTTCAGCCCTCTATCATTTATGACGGTTGTGCAACGGATCCAGGTAAATATCAATATGGGTTTTAAAGTACACTTTCAAGTTTGCTGTTGTTGAATCTCACAGAATATGCACCTTGACATCAATTTGGCTTAAGCTCTCAAAGGTCACATGTGGGAAACTATCAAGTGTGCCTATTGGTGGGTTTGCTCCATGCCCTCCCTCTCCTAGTAAGCAACAGTGACCCACATGCCAGGAGGCTAGCATGGCAGCTCTGCCCCCCCCCCAGCAAGCCTCTTCTGGATCTGTCCCTCCCTATGGTGGTAGTACTGATGGCAATGATCTGCTGTGTTAATATATTGTCTTTCCTCCCAAAAGAGCCCTGGCGGGTTGACAACCTGTTAAATTCAACGACTCTCAAAAAAAACCTGATTAAAATATTTAAAACTATATATCTAAAAGCAAAATAGTAAAACCCAGCAGACAAAAACCCTCAGTTTTTGAACTTCAACAACATATTGATCCCCAAAGCCCAAAGGAAGAAATGCCTCTTCAGCTGGTGCCTACAAAATATCTGCCTAATTATGGAGGTGAAGATGGAGTCTACAACGGAAGGCATTGAAGCTGAATCTCCACACAATAGTTTAATACTAAAATTCTGACACATCAGTTTTTCCCTAGGAGAGAATTCAGATTTCCTCACTCACCTATTGCTTCACAAAAGTGCACATTATTGGCCATTCTAAAGAAACCAACCAACCAATTGTTTTAAGGTTGCTTCAGGTGTTCATGAACTACTGATTCCAACACCAGGGGTTTTGTTTCATGGTATCTGTAAATTGGGGATGCGGGTGGCGCTGTGCGTTAAACCACAGAGCCGTAGGACTTGCCGATCAGAAGGTTGGCGGTTCGAATCCCCGCGACGGGGTGAGCTCCCGTTGCTTGGTCCCTGCTCCTGCCAACCTAGCAGTTAGAGAGCACGTCAAAGTTAAAGTAGAGAAATAGGTACCGCTCTGGCGGGAAGGTAAACGGCGTTCCGTGCGCTGCTCTGGTTCGCCAGAAGCGACTTAGTCCTGCTGGCCACATGACCCAGAAGCTGTACGCCGGCTCCCTCGGCCAGTAAAGCAAGATGAGCACCGCAACCCCAGAGTCTGTCACGAGTGGACCTAATGGTCAGGGGCCCCTTTACCTTTGCCTTTATCTGTAAATCGAATCAGCTTCATGTCGGTTAAGTAATATTGTTAACTTGGCATTTTGGGAAACTCTGAACACTTCCTTCCAATAAAGCAGGGGTCTGCAACCTTTAAGACAAAAAGAGCCACTTGGACCCGTTTCCGAAGAAAAAAACAAACTGGGAGCCGCAAAACTCGTCATTATAAAAATAACTTTTTTGTCACTTTTTTGTTATTATATCTTTTTTTGACCCCTCACAATTACTCCTCCTCATAGACATAAACGTTAAATTAACAAGTTACCTTTTTGTGTGTGTGTGTTCTTCACTCCCCTTCAAAACAGTGACCAGCGTACATGCCCCCTTTCAATGCAGTGACCAGCGTACATGCCCCTTACAGTGTAGCGGGCGGGCGGGAAGGTGACGTCGAGATGGTGCGTGACTAATGCATGCCGCCTGCATGCGACGTCACAGCCAGTACAGGGCCCGCCACAGTGGGAAGTGTCGGGGCACACAATGCGCCTCCTCCCCATGCTAGTATCCGCCCCAGAGCCGCGGCAAAGGTGTAAAAGAGCCACATGCGGCTCCGGAGCCATGGGTTGCAGACCCCTGCAATAAAGGTTTCGTTCCACTGTGTATTTTGGAATTCAGATTCTATGTACATTCATTTTGTTTAATAAATTTAACAGCTTCCCAAAGCAATCGGTCTATCAAGGTTGCAGCTCTTGTGATGGGAAGCACAAAACGGAATATTGATTGAGAGAAGCCATAAAAATGAGAGAAAACTACTCAAATCCAAGCAGTAGACCTTTTAAGCCTGTCCACATGGTGTCGCTAGTGTACCATGAATCACCCAGTGTACAGACTGTTCCCGTTCTTTTGAAGAGTTCTCACTGTTAAGAAGGTTCTTCTAAAGCCTGGCCAGCATTTGCATCCGTGAAGTTTCTTACCCAGTTGTTCTCCTCCTGCCCCTGGAACTGCAGTGAACAAGTCTGCTCCATCTTCTGTGTGATGGTCCTTATGTCTCTCTTTGATCTCTTCTTCTCCAGGCTAATCATGCCCATCTTTTTCAAACACTTCTCATACGATTTGGGCTGCATCCATGCACAGCAGATTATTCAGTTTCCATGACTTTTCTCTAATTGTTAAATTCTGCATTCATGCAATGCAGAAGCCACTTCTGGAACTATAGTGGAATATGTTGCATGTTTGATGCTCATTTTCAACCTATTTCCTTCCAGAAAAGAAAAATGTTTGGAAATAATATGGAAATAAGTGCTAACCTTGTGCTAGATTCCATGATAATTCCACTGTATTCAGCTATAGTCCCTGCCTACAAGGTTGTAACAGTTCCAAAGAATGGGGAAGGAAGATCTTTCTAACAGCAAGAGATGTTTGGCAGTGGAAGAGATTCCCTTGGAAGCTGCTGGACTATGGCCATCTGTCATGGACTCTCAGCATGTCTTTCAACTTTCCAATTCTATAATTCTGCAAAGAGGAAAGTGCATTCTGAATCACAGGTGATTCAATACAGTTGTACCTTGGATCTCAAATGCCTTGGCTCCCAAACAAATCGGCTCCCAAATTATCAAAACCCAGAAGTGACTGTTTCGATTCGCAAACTATTTTTGGAAGCCAAACGTCCGACGGGGCTTCTGCAGCTTCCAGTTGGCTGCAAGAGCTTCCTGCAGCCAATCAGAAGCCGTGCTTTGGTTTCCAAACGCTTTGGAAGTCGAACGGACTTCCGGAACAGAGTCCATTCGACTTCCACGGTATGACTGTATGGGAAAACTGCTTTGCCTTGCAATAGTGTTATAAAGATTACAAGATAATGTATAGGACATACTTGGAACATTTGGATGTGCTGAAAAAGTGCTATTTATTTATAAAAATAATACTAAGACCAAGTCATTTCCCCCTTCTCTAGCAACAGGACTGCAGTACCTCTTTAACAGTAAAACGGGTGAAGTCCAGTGGCTAAACCAGAAGACCTCTACTATGTAATGTTTACTTCCTGCTAATACCAACACTTCTCACATCTCTTCTGTCTGACTGCCCCAGATGTATGGACAAAATGGCTTTCAAACAATTCACCTGGAAGTGGGAAGTTATTGATTAAACTATCTGACCATCTAATAGTCAATAATGAAGTCTATTTATGGAATTTGGGCATTGAAAGTAATGTTCTCATTTTGAATGTTTCCATAGAATTATTTACCTGGCTTATGTGGTTGTTATATGTGCTATAAGTGCTTTGTTGCCAAATACAAAATCATTTATTTCCTTGATTTTTTTGAAGTGTTTCTCCTTGATTTGTTCAATAAATTGCCAAGGCCTGAATAACATTGGTGCCTTTGATAGGATTGGGGGTCATCATCATCATCATCATCATCATCATTATTATTAGCTTTTCTTCTTTATTTCTCCAAACCTCTAAAATTAAATCACCAATTTTCATAACATTTAACACAGCTGTTCATCCCCCTGCACCCTAATAGGATGCAGGTGAACTGGGAACAAGCCTGTGTTGTGGTAGCTCCCCTTTTCCATTTATTTATTGCCATTTATATCCCACCTTTTTCACTGCTCATCACAATCACCACCATCTGGGCATAGCCCTTCACCAGCCAGGAGACAGGGGGCATTATGGTCAATACTGGGAATTTTGGGGGAGCAGGTGGTGGAGTGTTCAAAGGCTTTTTGCAATGGCAGAACAGCCTGCCGCCATCTTTAATTTGCCACAGAGTGGCCCCATGGGAGTGATGCTCGGAAATAATGTATCATCATTCCAAAGGGGCCTTGTTGGAGGCGGGGATATGTTTAACCCCCCGATATTTACCGTAACTTCTAGAAGATTCAGGAAATGGCTGAAAACAGAAGAGAATGGTAACTTCAGTCACTCTCACTAACATGCTTTGAAAAAAGGCTCTCCCAAGCAAAAAATGGGACACTAGGCATATGGTGATTTACTAGGGGCAAGTACCAGAAAGCAGGGACAGTCCTGGTAAATAGAGACCAATGGAGCATATATTTAAAATGCCATAATAATTTACTCACCAGTGAAATCAGAGCTTTGCCTTTAATGACAAGCTGCCCATGGACCAAAGGTCATGATGCTTAGACAAACAATAAGATAAATCAACTGGGCGCAACTTTTTAATATTGTTGAGTGATGTTTGCACACTTGAGTGCAGTTGGGATTTTGTTTTTAAGCAATCAACCAAGCCATCCATTATTATAGATGCAAAATAGTTCTTGGTTGAGAGGATATGATAATAAACATATATCACTAACACACACTTCCATGACTTGTTTACATTCTGGTCTGCAAAAGAACAAGCCTGATTAACGGGGTAAACGCTGGCCTTTTTTCTATTATCTGATCTGGTGCCTTTTTCTTTCTGGCGATGTCATAACACAACCCGGTTGTATATTTTAAAAAGATGTCATTCTGTTTATTTGCAGCTTTTCAATCTATTGAATTAATTGAAAAAGACCTACCTGTCATTTCCCCTGCACATTCCTATGATGTATTATGGTAGGAAACTTTCCCCAACTGCCTGGGAAATGTTTCAGAAAGGAGAAATGAATAAGGCCCAAATGCAGAATTCAGCAGGTCAGTTTTCAATTGGTTCATACTAAAAGAAAGAAATCGTGAACAATAATTCACAACAACAGCAACAGCAACGATTGAATTTACGACTTGCCCTTAACCAGCAAGTTCCAGGACAGTTAAAATAAAATACAGTTACAGGAATAGGGTACAGCCAGTATTGTTGCAGCCACTCCAATCTTCTGGGCACTTACCCAGGGCTTGGTTTCCTTGGAATGAGGGACTGCGGAGACTGCAGCCTCTTTATGGCTTATTTACACAGCTATGCAACCTGAGCCATTAGCACCCCAGCAGGCCTTGCTTCTCCCCCAGGCACAGCCACTCTCGGACTTCTGCCTCTAGGCTAGCTCTCTCTCACGCCTCTGACCTTTGTTTTCTCACCACCAGCCGGGTGAGGGGGGGCACCCATTTGCCCTCTGGCACAGAGCAGCTTCCTTTATTATACAAACGGCCTATACTTAGGGCCATTGCCAAGAAGCTGGCCTGGCCTGTTCCAACAATTGAATCATCCATTGGATTTTAACCCTTGCTGGATCCAGGAATCAGAAAGGACTCAGGCATACAGCCCCCCGCCAAAAAAACCTCACATATGTACCCTAAGGTTTTAAATTCCTGCCCTCATCCATTAATATGTTTGTCCACAGCTGTTCATTTGGTTATGTGTGTGTGTATTGTCATTCTGCAGTGTGACTAATGGAATTGGACATGATGACTTAATTCATCTGGTGAAAATAATGGAAATAGTGAAGTTCCCAGAGCTTGTAGTTAAAGGCACATGTGGAAAAACCTGGCTTCACTGATGTCAGAGACACAAGTCCAACAGATCTGTGTGGGGCCAGGAATTTGATCCCTACTTGGGTTCAGGATGACAATGTTTTAATACCCACTCTCTGTTTAGAAAGGCCGACTGCTTCTTTGAAATGGGATAGAAGGTTGGAATTGGGGTGTGGGGTGTCTCAACATATCAGAGATTTAAGGAAAATGCTATTTTGTCATTTTAAATGCATTTATTAGCACTTGGCAAAGAACAGAGATAAAAAAGTGGGATTCTGCAAAATGGAGGAGATGAGCAAAGACAATTGAAAGACTGAAGGCTAGTTCTGCGTTGCTACAGACAGAGATCGGGAAGTAGATCCTCTTTCAATGGCTTGTTTCTCTCCTTCCCCAATGTCTTCTGAAAGTATACTCCAGTGTGAGCATCAGAAAGAGGACTTGAGGAAATGGTGTTCATCAAACTGAGATGGAATGGACATTGTGGAAATTACATTGTGCCCCCTGGGGCTTCTGCTAGGTTGAGATTTATTTAGCACATCATGGCACTCAAGGCACTTACCTGGGGTTTTGTAGGACCTGACACTGACCTGCTTAGCTTCAGCAAGGTGGAGCATCATGTGCCTTCAAACCACCCAACTTGTTTGGTATATGTACACAGCTGCTTTAAAACAATTATGTTTCTCTTCCCAATTTCATATCTTTCATGCTCTCATTTAATCAAGCCAGCTGGTGGCTGATAGACCACAACCAGACCCACCTCCCTTCCCCATTGCTTCCAGTATACCACCCTGCGCTAGAGTGGAAGCACAAGGTATGGCACCACATCTCACCCAGTGGGTGTCTGCAAATATCTGAGAGATGCATATCTACAGATGTTGCTGTTACTCAAGGTCAGTGAAAGTTTTTCTGTGTGCTTCTTGGCATAGTTAATTGTCTCTATCTGCCTTTGGCTAGGGCAATATTTTCATACCTTCGGTTAATCCAATACATCATTTATCATGTTGCTGAATCTTAAGAAAGAAAGGATGTGATATTTCCAAGAAATAGTGTTTGATACTGTTTGTCTTTGAGTGAATTCTCTTTTTTGAAAATGGATAAATGCATGATATTAATACCTCAGAAATAGCAAGCATCTGTTTGTACATTTATCTGATGTTCTTGGCCCCCAATTCTAATTTCATGAGTTTGAAAATTCCTGTCCAAAGATTATTATTTTACCAGCATGATTTTGATGAATGACAGTGTGTGTTCTACTGGGAGCCAAACACTCCAAAATCTTTATCTTTCTTTTGTCCCTCACTTGCTCTGAAATAATAGGACAAGCAATGGTGACATTCAAATAACCGGAAAAGCAAGCGGCCAAGCAAGAGGCAAAATTCCAAATAGGCAGAAACACCCAAAGAGGATGCAAAGGAGGAGGTGGGGGGGGCTGTGGAGGAGGACACCTCCTGGGGAGAGTCCTTTGGTCCAGACAGAGAGGCCTAGAGGGCCCTATTTGGCCCCATGGCCTGAGGCTCCTCACCCCTGATTTGTGAGAATGTTCAGGGAGGCAGGAGAGGATATATTGTTTATTAATATCCTTCCTAACTTGCGCTAGCAAGTTCCTTTACTTAGCAGAGTGCATTCCCCTTTACACAGCAGAAAACTAGTTGCAAACTCGTTTGAGTTTCTTTCTTTCTTTTTTTTTAAAATATTTTATTAAATTTTCTTTCCAACAGTTAGAAATTTACAGAATGAAGAATAAAGAATAAAGAGAAAGAGAAAAAGAGATACATAGAAACCAACTTTCCAAATTATTTTTGCCATTCCAACTGGGCTTCCCCACATCTTCCGAACCCTGCGTTCTTTGCAATTAGAACATCAGCAATTTGTTACCTTGTTTCATATCTTATTGTATCTTTCAAATACTATGTTTCTAAGTTCAAAATGCTGTATCTCCGTTATTTGTACCTTAAAAATAGGTATCTCAATCAAGATGTGGTCTGGAGTCACTATTTTGCCACCCATCAGGAAATAAGACAAATTTGCAGATGAAAAAGCTATTTCTTCAGAAAAACAAAGTGCATCTAATTTTTATTTTAAATGACTTTGTGCCTGGATAAGGTTTCTGTCCTGGGTTTTCAACGGCTCAGAAACCTTAAAAATAAACATAGTATAGTTATTTCATATTGTCCACCTCGTCTTTCTTATAACTTAGTTTCCAATTCACCTATTCAAGTTGCTGAAGCAAAAGTTTCCTAGTCGTACACATTCTTAACATTCATACAGCTTATAATGTTTCTGCAAATAGTCCTTAAATTTTTTCCAGTCCTCCTCCATTATTTCCTCTCCCAAATCTCGGATTCTGCCAGTCATCTCAGCCAATTCCATGTGGTCCATCAACTGCGTCTGCCATTCCTCCAGCGTGGGTAAATCTGGTGTCTTCCAATACTTTGCGATGAGGATTCTTGCTGCTGTAGTAGCATACATAAACAAAGATCTATCCTTCTTTGACACCTTCTGGTCCACCATGCCCAGGAGGAAGGCCTCTGGTTTCTTGGGAAAGGTATATCTGAATACCTTTTTTATCTCATTGTAAATCACTTCCCAGAAGGCCTTCACTTTTGGGCAGGTCCACCAGAGGTGAAAGAATGTCCCTTCCGCCTCTTTACATTTCCAACATTTGTTATCAGACAGGTGGTATATTTTAGCAAGCTTGACTGGGGTCATGTACCACCGGTATATCATTTTCATAATGTTTTCCTTCAAGGCATTACATGCCGTGAATTTCATTCCGGTGTTCCATAACCTTTCCCAGTCCTCAAACATAAGTTTCTTAAGACAATACAGTGGTACCTCGGGTTACAGACCCTTCAGGTTACAGACGCTTCAGGTTACAGACTCCGCTAACCCAGAAATAGTACCTCGGGTTAAGAACTTTGCTTCAGGATGAGAACAGAAATCATGCGGCAGTGGCGCGGCAGCAGCAGGAGGCCCCATTAGCTAAAGTGGTGCTTCAGATTAAGAACAGTTTCAGGTTAAGAACGGACCTCTGGAACAAATTGAGTACTTGACCTGAGGTACCACTGTATGCAATTCAATCTGGCTTGTCCAGATTGTAATGTGTTCTAATATTTTCCTGGTAAGACCCCTTGAATCCCTCCTGAAAGAATAAAGACACCACAGTCTTATTCATAAGTAACAAACACAGTGTGATCCCTGAAGACAGGCTTTAGGCTTAAAGTTTCAAACATATACAAACAGGTTTACCCCATAAGGGAGATTTGCCTAGTGACTGCCGGCTAGCAGTCCAGCAGTTCACAGGACGAAAAGAGAGAGTGTGGCAAGGTGACTTGTCCTTTTACCAGGTCTGGAAAGGTCACGCCCACCCACTAGTCACATGCAAGGAAGGATGCTCCAGGCCACGAGGAACAGGAAGTTTCAACTGGCTGGACCAAACATCCCCTGCATGTTCACTCTAGCAAAACAAGGAATGTGGTATTTGACTGTTCCCAGCGGATTACATTCCACATGATTTACGCTGGCAGTAGCTCCCTGGGTTTATTTATTGTCACGGACTGGCTTTGTGAGGCTGGAACCAAAGGGCACATGGCCGTTGCCTCCTCCTCACAGTGCTCTGCCAGTGCAGTGGGAGGGCAATGTGAGAAGGACACAGCACGGCAGGCAGGCTCCCTTGCAATCAGCTTTTGCCTCCTCCTGGCGCCCTGCCAGCCCCACGCTGCTTCACGAGCCTGGGAGATGGGAGCAGACTCACAAAGCAGAGCTGGGCTGGCAAGGGCAGTATGAGAAGCAAAATGTGCCCCCCCCAAAATAAAATAAGAATGTGCCCAGGGCAACGTTCCCCCTCGCCCTGCCCATGCTATGCCTCTGAATTAACGGAAACAATAACTGCAATAGTAATTGTAATAATAATCTAAATGTAAGCCATACGGGTATTGGAGCTCTTTTTTTGGTGTTTTGGTACCTTTTATGGGCTTACCTAGGGACGCGGGTGGCGTTGTGGGTAAAAGCCTCAGCGCCTAGGGCTTGCCGATCGAAAGGTCGGCGGTTCGAATCCCCGCGGCGGGGTGCGCTCCCGTTGCTCGGTCCCAGCGCCTGCCAACCTAGCAGTTCGAAAGCACCCCCGGGTGCAAGTAGATAAATAGGGACCGCTTACAAGCGGGAAGGTAAACGGCGTTTCCGTGTGCGGCTCTGGCTCGCCAGATGCAGCTTGTCACGCTGGCCACGTGACCCGGAAGTGTCTGCGGACAGCGCTGGCCCCCGGCCTCTTGAGTGAGATGGGCGCACAACCCTAGAGTCTGGCAAGACTGGCCCGTACAGGCAGGGGTACCTTTACCTTTACCTTATGGGCTTACCTACTGCCCTTACTACTGTCCTGCATCTCCAAGCCGGAGTCGCAAGACCGAAACTAGGCTTTGGTGAACTCTGGTTCAACTACTAAGAGGTTTGCTAGCTTGTTTTGGATCTGTTTCTATCAACACACAATTGAAATGCATGGTTATTGTTCCTTTTGGAAGGAATTCTGGTTTTATTTTAAGTATCTACTGTAATTCTCTTAGGTTACCAAGAATGAGCTATTTTGCAATTGGAGGCAGGCGGAGGTTTTTCTTGGAAATCAGGTATGGAGAGAGGTCAGCGTGGTTAAGTCCCCCCCCCCCCCGACCTATGTTATTGTGCATATTTTGAGCAAATTCTATCTGTCCTTCGTCATTTTGTACAACTGATAGTGAAGCAGCCACATTCTGTTTTCAAACAGAAGTATGAAACTCCCATAGGTTTTACTGGGGAGTTGTAAGGATGCTTCCAAAAACAACTTTTCCAGCCGTGGAATTTTGGGTGGAAATGATGTGTGCATTTCTTAGGGCCTTTTTAAAACTCCTCTTTATAAAGATAATATTTAGAAGACAAAGTCCTGCCGTTATTCAAATACCTTTGTTTTATATAAGCAAAGTAATGAGCATGCTGTTTTCTTTAGGCAGTGAATCTATCAAACCATCATATGAAACCCCAGTAAACCAAACGTGAGTTTCATGCAGTGCCTGAATTTTATTACAGTTATCAAAAAGAATGTGCAGTTGCTTAAGCCACATAAATCCCCACAAATCCCACAAAGGTTGGATGTGATCCGTGTATCAACAATACATAATTGACCATATTAATAACATGTTTGCAGTATTTCTCTCTTTCAGGAGATGCCACAATAAGCCACTTTTGTAGAATATTAACCAGCTTCCTTCATTATTTCATGATATTAAGGATTGAGACATTTTATTTTTCATTAAAGTAATGCTATAATATTTCATCACTTTAGCATGTATGTACACACACTTTAGCTTCTATTCCATATATGTTTTTTCAAGGATTTTTCTATGGAATGCAAATAGTGATTTCCATAAAAACGGCACATAAAACCTCTTAGAACTAGATGCTGCTTGCACTGAAAATTTGTGGCAGCCTCTGGCCTGTGTATTGCACCGAGCACAAGTAAAATGAGGCAGAGAAGCAAAGAGGAGTGGCCAGCAGTATGTCTGAAGAGGTTGTGTGATCCTCACTGACCTCTCCCAGTGCTTCTGGGTTGCAGTTGCTATGGTATGGTCCTCAAGGGGATTCAACCTGTCTTTGCCCTGCCTTGAACTTCTAGCTTTCCAGGAGAAGTGCCTGTCAATGACCAAATCCCCATGCTTTCAGAATTCAATCTGACCTCTGGCATTTGAAAGAATAACAATTCTAAAAGTAGCCAGACCTGTGAGTGACACCAACTGAGTATGTGGTATGAGTTGATTGTGAAAATGCTGAGCTGGTGCTTTTTCTCGGTACATTTAAAGTATTGATCGTAACAGCAATTGCTCAGGTTGCTGATTAATTTCCTAGAAACCTAAGTGAATACTGGATCTCCCTTTCTCTCTCTCTAGCAGATAGAAGCAACATCTGGAATGCAGGTCTCACCAATCGCAGCCAGAGATTGTGGCAGTTCTAGTTC